CCAGCGTTTGACATGAAAAATAAACTTTTGACATAGAATAAGTTTTTCTTCGAAAAGTTCATTACGAACTATAGTTAAATTTTAATAGATTTTTACCAACGTTTGACATGAAAAATAAACTTTTGACATAGAATAAGTTTTTTTCGAAAAGTTGATTACGAACTATAGTTAGATTTTAATAGATTTTTACCAACGTTTGACATGAAAAATAAACTTTTGACATAGAATAAGTTTTTTTCGAAGAGCTCATTACGAACTATAGTTAGATTTTAATAGATTTTTACGAACGTTTGACGTGAAAAATAAACTTTTGACAAAGGAAACAAAATAAAATATTTCATTGTGATCATTAGACTTATCAAACTTAATCATATAACTTCTTATGAAAAAAAGATCTATTTGTAAACAAATGTTTACACGGCAGTAAATCTCACGGCAGTAAATCGTGTAAACCGATAAAACTTTATGAATCAAATTTCACTAAAAAATGAGTAGTTATCTAAATTCTCGCACTTCAATTTTTTGAAACAAGACAAGACTATTTTTCGAAAATAATGATTTTTCTAAAAAATAAAGTTCGACTAAAGGGATTTCAGTTCGAGAAATTTTGAATCTCCAATTGTTTTTCAGTGATTCTTCAATTAGATTTTTTCGGTCAGTAGATGCCTGTTTTCGGCGGTTTGCTAATGATTTAGAAGCATTCCCTAGATTAAAAAACAGTAACTAAAATGCAATTACTTTCACTCGTAGTCATCAACTTAATTTCTAACCTGATACAGAATGTGTATCAGTACCACGGAAACTACAGTACCAAAACATGTCAATGACTGTTTTGAAAAGCTAGATATGAATATATCTTATGAGAGATGACTCTAAAAATTGATAGCCGTCAACTAAATTAATAAAAAGGAAAGCTAGTCTGGCACATCGCTAGATACTTCCTAAAGGGATTTCTCTAGTTTTTCAATATTGAAAAGAACATTTGACATTAGAAATAACATACTTTACGAATTTCATTGTCAAAGTTAAGTGATGAACAAATATTTGGTGAGCCATCTAATGGAAAGAACTAATCAGTATTGACATTGAATAATGAATTGAAGTAAAACTTGCTAATACTCATCAAATTGCGTAACTTCCAGTTGAAATATAGCTGACAAAATACATAGTACTCGAATTAGATCTTAAAGATACATGAAGTTTAAATATTCTTTACGTTAATGTTGTGTAAGCGCATTCTGACGCAGAATAGAATCTATTTTGAAAACATCATTTGTCTATTTATTTATAGCCAAGAAATGGAACCAAAAACGTCTCCCGCACAAGACCATAAAAGAAGTAAGCATGAATAATCTTATATGTGCTATTAGAAAAGCATCCTTTTATTGAATGACCTCATTCAATTACTTTCATTAACTAGTCGAAACAATAATGTCTTTCTTACATTAGACAAACCTTGGCTCATGTGCCAGTTTCATGATACAGAGCAAAAACCCATCAAGAAACCCAATGAATTTCGAATCAGCCAGAAAGACTGTGCTCCTTTATCAAATATTAACGTTGATCAAGTAAATCGTATCCAAGGTTCAATGTTAGGTTTGACTGTGGGTGATGCTTTGGGTGCTCACGTTGAATTTAGACCTTACAGCTATTTGGCTGCTAATCCAGTGACAAAGTTAGTAGGAGGAGGAACATGGAGTCTACGAAAAGGACAGGTAACAATTCTGATGACAAGAAGTCTATAATATTTTGCTTCTCTAGTTTACTGATGACACTTCCATGGCACTTTGTTTAGCAAATTCACTAATTGCTTGTCAAGAATTTGTTCCATACGATCAATTAGTTCGCTACAAATGGTGGTATCGACATGGATATATGTCATCGACCGGTTATTGTTTTGACATTGGTACGACCACTCGAGATTCTATCCAAGAATTTGAAAAACGTCAAAGGAAGTTTGCACATGATTATAAAATTCCTTCAGATGAAATTGATTCTCTATCTGATCAAGATCTTCTTCAAGCATTCGATGTGAATTGCAGCAAAGAGGGTGCAGCTGGTAACGGAGCGATAATGCGTCTCGCACCTGTACCACTCTTCTTTTATCGACATCCAACAATGGCTGTCGAGTATTCCGGCATTAGTGGTAAAATCACCCATGGAGATAAGAAAGTTTATGATGCATGCCGTTATTATGGAGCTCTCATCGTAGCTGCTCTTAATGGTGCAACAAAAAACCAATTAACTAGCAACACATTTTATGATGATCATCTGGAATGGTTTGACAATATAAGCTTACATCCTGACATCCTAACGATTGCTCAAGGATCATACAAAAAGCCAGGCGGTTATAAAGATGGAATTCGAGGTAAAGGATATATTGTTAATGCTCTAGAAGCTGCACTATGGGCCTTTTGGAGTGATGATGACTCGTTCGAGAAAGGTGCACTTAAAGCTGTTAATCTAGGCGACGATACAGATACAACAGCAGCTATCTATGGTCAATTGGCCGGTGCTCATTACGGCTACAAAAGTTTGCCAGAAAACTGGTTGAAATATATCTATGCCAAAGATTTCATATTATGTGTGAGTAGCTGGATCGCCTACGAAGGAGAAAAATGGTTTAGAAATTTAAAAGTTTCTAGTGCAAGCAACCTACTGCATCCTTCTAATCGCATATCTTTCGATTCAAACTCGAGCATCTCTGTTGTTTCGACGCGAGGTTCTCATGTAAATCGTCAAACATCTTTGGATGCAGATATGATGTCGAAGACATTAGTACGCAAAGCGATCAGTCCTTTCGGGTGCATAGGAAATCTTTATAATGGATGGCAAGATTGTATTCTCGAATCATCTAGTATCAATTTTGATATGAAAAAAGATTACGTGTACCTACCAATAAAATGTGTGATAAAAAGTGGCGATAAATATGAGAATCGAAATATACTTCGACTAATAGATTGCTCCGCTGATCTCCGATTGAGTTTATTATCAAACTTGGTTACTCGAGCCGCAATTACTTCAGTTCTCAATTATCCATTTGAAATCGATGAGTTCACTCGTATCTTCTATTATTCGTACATGGTTCGGCGTGAAGCTTTAATACATGAGAAAAGGATGACCAAAGAACCATGTGAAACTTCAGCGACTCACGTCATCACTGCAATTGATTTGGGTATTGACGTGGTGGTTTTATTGAGATTACCACTTGATGATTCGAAAAATATCGATGATAGCTTAGACAGAATATGTCAACAGTTGAAGGCTGAGAAGGAACTAATGATTAACGAAAATGCATTGAATCGAATTGTTTCTACACATGTATATTCGAACTTACCTCATCTAGCTGAATTAACAACAATGACTGATGTTTGTCACGAAATCTACAGAATCAAAAACGAGGCTACGTATCATCGACCATGCAACTACATCCTTCATTCTATTAACAATTTTTTTCTTGATGAAAACCAATGTAACAAAAAATTTATTCCGATCGAATCAAGAATTGCAACAAGGATTGAAGAACATTGGATTCGATTATCATCTTTTAAGAAATTATGGGAAACTTTTCTAAATAATAAAACAAGCAGAATTATGGAGATTGAACTCAAGGATCAGTTCGATGCTGTAGAAATTCAATTCTTAAAATTAACACATGAATATAACGAAAAAATGAAGCAAGTTCAAGATTTGATTATGAAGATTCGTGAAGGTGAAGAGTCGCAAGAGTCTATTGAACAGTACTTAGGAATAGAAGAAAATGAAACAGATCTGAAGCACACTATCGACAATTGGAAACATCAGCTGAGAACTTTGAAGGATAAGCAAGATTTTGTTTTAGACTTAGAAAAGGGAGGGTTTATGTATTGGAATGCTGTCAAACATGGTATTAACCCGAAAGACAATGAAAACGAGATTCAGTTCAAGTTGATTAAAGATAATCGTCGACACCGATTCTTATGTTCCAACGATAGTTTAAATACGGTCAATTGGACAACATTCCAAGAGATGCGTGAACGAATGGTTGATGAAGCTTCGAGAAATCCCACTTTGCACCTGATTTATATAGATTTCTCGTACAATTCGTTCGATTTAGATACAATAAAATTATGGCCCTCAACGACTTATGTTCCGAATCACGGTGTATACGAGTATTCGATACAAACGAAGAAAAAACCTCATGCTGTTCCATTCATGTCTTCCATGAATCAGATGATCAATATCGTTCTCATAGGTAAATTAGGCGTAGGGAAATCAACACTAGTTAATGCAATTGCGAATTGTCTACAATTCAGAACGTTATCAGAAGTTCAATCGCGAAGATCTGCACTGCATGTGCTTGTCTCTTTTATGTTTACGTTAAAGATTGACGAAGAAGTGCACTTCATTCAACTAGACAAAAAAGATTCCAACGAAGATTATTATCATCCTGGTCAATCTACAACTCAACGTTGCAAATCACACTTTTTCGATATTGAAAATGATCAAAAGTTATGTATCATTGATACACCTGGTTTCTCCGATGTACCTGGCGAAACACACGATGATATAACCATGCAACATATCCTATCATATATTTCGAATCTAACACATATAAACGCCGTCTGTGTTCTCATAGAGTCGAGAGATTCAGAAATCACTTTCTATATGAAGTATTTGACGCAAATACTAAATTTCCTTGGACCAAACGCACAAGACAATCTAATCTTTTGTTTCACTAAATTTCTTTTGACCTCGAGCAATATCAATGAAAGAAACGCTAGAAGTCAATCATTACTTCAAACACTTTCACTTAATAACATCCACTTAAAGCAGAATCGAATACTTTTTTTTGACAGTAGTTTCTTTCTTCATTTGGCTAAATCGCGTTGGTGCAATTCTGATGAGCCGAATTTCAAGGCGAGCTGGTTCATTTCAAAACATGCATTACGAAAACTTCTAAACTTTGCTTGTCATAGCGATCGCCCATATTTGTTACATCAAGCATTACAAAGGACACAATATGCCGCATTTGAAATCCGTCAGATGGTTCGTCCGATAATGGAAACAATGCGAAATATTCTTCGAAATCAAATTTTGCACAAATATAGATTCTCGTCTAAGTGGATCGAATTACGTCCGAAACCTATTCAACGACCTTCAGCTATATGCTATTCGTGTGATCACTCCATTCGACGATACGGCAACTTCTGGATCACGTGTGATGGTTTGCATGAATATCGACATAAATGTGAACATTGTCCATGTGGTTCAGAGCAGCACATCATGGTAGATTATCAACTCGATTACGCATTAGTCGATAGAGTGAACTATGAATTAGATAAATTGGTTACTTGGAATGAAGAAATTTTCTCTGCAAGCGTGTACTTTGCTCATTTTCTCACACATACTGCTCAAAATTGTAGCGATGATCCATACTTGGCTAGTCTCAATCGAATGATCGAAGAAGAGAGTTATATTTGCGATAATAAATCTGATTACCGACTTAATTTAAAACTATATAAGAAACTTGTAAAACTAAAAAGTGATTATCAACGACATATGAAAGTTTTGCAACAGCAATGTGAACACAACGACTTGATGGGTTTTGATGACTTCTTCGAAGTAGTCAAAGCTGTTCCTATGATAGAAGAACAACTCAGTGCTACCAGAGGACTGGAAGAAGCTTGTTTTTAGATTAAGAGATACTAGAGACTACTTAAATAAAAGATTGACGTCATCAGAGAGTTCAGATGAAATTTTTTACCCTCATCATTATAATTTTTTTTCGCATCTTGTACTAATTTGAATATTCTCCTTCATAATTCAATCAAACGATCATATTCAATGTTTATGAACTAGAGAAAACTAGAACTGTAAGAAGACTAAAAATTCTGCTGCAATAAAGAGTACAGATAAAAGCAAACTCTCAATATGCTTTTAATGGTAGAGAGATTGTCCACTTTTCTAACAGAAAGATCCAAAATCTAATCTTAAGATTCGTTTTGAGAAAAAATTCTTCAGAGACTAAAAACATTTTCGATGTGCTTTGTTATCGGTTTAATAACATTAATATTCTTCTGCCATTATAATTCGGACATTCTATAGAAACGATTTCCTCATGATATTCCAAGCGAGATTGATTTGACACTATCGATAACTTCGGAGTCACATTTGTTGATATCTATATAGCTGATTGAACTAAGTTAACGATACAAATTATTTTATAAAACTAGATTAGCATGAGATTTTTGCTAGGATCACCAAGTTGATTTAGCAGATTCATACAAATTTTCAGAAATTGAGAACTACTAGGCTGCTATAGAATATTTTCTGTTTTCATTCTTTATCAGTTACTCTGTATTTTATTTTGATTTGATGCTAATATTGATTTTTGTACTGCTCAGTATCGACATTCATTAATTTTTGTTCAACAACACGTACTTCCACTTTTTCCTGGTATTTTTGTGGACATGGTTCTGATCATCTATATAATTATTATTGATTACAAAATATAAACATCTGTTGTGTAAATTTGATCGATTTGTCACGTATTCTTCTGAAATCCAATAGGATGCTGTGGAATCATTGAAAAGAGACAAGATGATAGGGTGTGAAACTAGAATCAGATAAAGTTTTCCAGATGATTTCCCTCTGTATATTATGATGAACCAGTATAATGATTTATATCGAAAAGAAACTTGCAGCAGAATAGTGACACTCAATTGATTTCAGAGAGCAGGAATCAAAAGAAGCCGTTGATTTGTCGGTCGAGAATGACAATATATATAAATAGATGAATTTTAGAATTTTTATCATGCATGCTAAAGAAATTTTCAAAGAATCTTCTTAAGATCCTATAATGCTACTCTGAAAATATATACTACATTATTTTGTATTTCAGATTTCTAAAGTCACTTTTACCTGCTTCATCTTTCTACACATAATGTCATTCAGTAGATATTTACTAAATTTTAATGGTAGTATGAGTATATAGTTATTGCTTTAGCGATTGTGGTATATGCAAAAGATTCACATTCGTCTGCTTCCATCTTTCGGGCGATGTACAGGGTGTCCGGAAAGTCATGAGACGTAGAAAAGTTTTCATATCTCAATAGTGTTTGGACGAAATGAGTAGATTTTTTTACCACTCATAAGAAAGTATTCCAAGTCCATATGCACAAGAACAACATAGACAAACTGTTTCAGAGTATCACTATTGACTTGGATAAATAAATGTCCTTCTAGACGAATTTTTGAAAAGCTCTCATTTACGATCTGTTTTAAAAGTTATCTCGAAGAATTAATTTGAATAAGTGCAGCTTATTCTAGCCAAAGTAGACTAATAGTTTTGAAAATATAAAGGCACATTACCAGTTCGATTCGTGTCAGGCAAAATAAGACGTCTTATAGCTTAAAGTTGTCATACACATGAATAGTGTTTTTCGAGAGCCGTAAGAGAACAATTTCATTTTATTGATTTCGAAAGTGATACTTCGAAACAGTTTTGGTCTACGTTATTCTTATGAATATGGACTAGGAACACTCCCTTATTAGTGGTAAGAAAAATCAACTTATTTCGTCCAAACACCGTTGGAATACTCAAATTTTTCTATGTCTAGTGACTTTCTGCGTACCCTATATGACAGGCACATCAATGAAATCTCAGCCTAATACCGAAGTTTTCACGTACCTACGTATACGTAAGTACTTGCCTGCCTGTTAAGAAGGTATTTTTATGTCAGAATAGGTGATCTTGCAAAAATTTTCAGAAATTATGTGTCCGATTTTACATACTTACCAGTCAAAGTTTGAACGCAAAATATTGATTAATTCAGGAACCATCTCAGTATTAAGGATAAAAAGATGGTTGTCTTTGAGAAACGGTTCTGCTTCAGTTTTAATTAGACCTAACTTAGGTTAATGTTAAAATGTAGCTAAGATTAGCGACTATAATTAGAAAAAATCCGGATTTTTAAAAGTTTGTTCGATTATTTTTCTAAAAGTTGTTCGTGAATAACTCAGAAAAGGTACGGCTAAATTCTCTGTGAGATTGTACTTTCTCAGAAGCCAAGCCAGAATGAAAATCACCTCCGTTAAGTTAGAGGAGCTACACTTGTCCATATTCCAAATCCGCCTCAAGCTTGGTAGCTTTTTGAAAGGCTAAGAAATCTTTGGTGCACGAAGAGATAGAAATGAAAAAAAATAATTTGAGCAAAACGTTATATAAGAAAACTCTCGTTTCTCATTTTCATTATTTTCAGAAAAAATTCTGTAAAATTCTTACATTTTTGTAGTAAAATCAATCAATTATAGTGTTTCCTAAAGTACACTGTAGAGCTGCCTTACACGAAGTAATCTTAAATTAGAATGTCTTGACGAAAATCGCATTATCTGAAGAGATGAAGTGGTCTTAGACACTGTTAAATACTGAAAACGATCTGATTTTACATCTTTTATTAATTATCAAAGCGACTTTATCATTTTTCACAATTTGTTACAATATGGTGTAATGATTTTACTAGGCGCTTTTCTCTAACTTAAGTCAATTTTTATTCATAGAGAGTTTTCAAAAACATTTATTAGACTGTTTTTCTTAAAATACTTGTTTCGCATAAAAAAAATTAGAAGTTGGAATGTAGTTTCTAGATTGATCCAATCAATGAACTAGATATTATAAACTAAATACGGATCATTCTGACGAACGGCCTTGCACAATGCTGCAATCTGTAGTATTGAATTGTTGCTGCCATCGCCATTATTTCAATGCTAAACAATAATGACGATGGTTGAGAAAAGAGGAGCAAGCAACTCACAGTCCGACATCTCTACTAGATGCAAATCACATGCAGAAGAAAAAAGTGACTAGAATATACGAATTTTATTTCTCATTATTTTATCATAATAGAGATATTGGTTCATTTTGCATGAACTATTCTATCGATAAAATTGTTTTTCACTCGGCTTAAATCTAAAAAACTTAAAGATTTAGAATGGCTCGGATAGCCCATTCGTGACCCGGATTCATGGAACTGAAAATATCCGTAGCTAAAAAACTCTTATTTTATTTATCACATTATCAACACCAAAAACCATGGAAGACAAATCTATGTAACTGATAACGGCTTTTTGTGACTGACTGAGTTGCGGATGATACCACTTAAATCACTAAATGCTATCAAATGTTTGGCTGTAGCGAACGACAACAAGTTAAACTAATAATAAGTATTGGCAATACGTAGTAGTTAAATGTCCACTTTCAGATATGTTCACGTGTCTGCTGTGCAACGCGTGAAATCTCTCTTGAAGTGTTGTTTCTCCTCAAGATATGTTCAGACTTCCAAAAAAAAGGAATTATCGTAGTTTTCATAGTTACTAAACGAATATATTCGAAGGCGAAACAGATATTACGGAAAATTTTAGGAAATTCTTCTGGTATATGCAAATCTGATTAAGTTTCGAAATTTTGGGTGCATTGTATATAGTTTTGAAAAATATCGTGGATATTTCCTACGGTTACCTTAATATCTGGTTTGTCTTATCACATGTTCATTTTGTAATTTCCTTTTGTTCAGAATTCTGAGCAGTGTCGAGAAAAATTCGGTACCTTTTGTTACTATCCGCAGTTAATGAGAGCATGCTCTGTGAAAAAGCACGCTATTCAGTGCCAAATTTTAACCAGTGTGATAGATCTATTAGTGAATTAATTGCCAATTGTTTAATCGTTTCGTTGCTACGAACAAAACTAGGAAAGGAGATGATATATTTTAGACAAATATATCTAAAGAATTGTCTAGAAAAATAATGTGTTCTCGTCTTTTTGTTTGCGCATCCAGGATTTTCATTATAATGTCGATAATAAACAATTATTTTAGCTCTGCAGAGAAAATTGAGAATTTATTGCTATATTCACTGATCATCCATGTCTATTGATCGACCAACTGCTTCTCTAAAAAAATCAAACTGGCAGCGGGTGTGGGTGTGGGTGTGAGTGTGTGGCGTGGGTGTGGGTGGGTGTGTTCACACCGGCACCACACACCCACACATCCACACCCACATCCACAACGGTTGACTATTGTCTACTTTCCGAATGCTGTTGAACGAAAGAAGCCTATAATTGCTATTACAATCAGTATTCGTACTCTAATTCTTCTGTGTGGAATGCACATTGATGTATTTCTTTATCATATGCTTATTCAGAGCATCGATAATACGATTGTTTGCGTGACCAATTACAATATTCAATCTGTCTCTTATTACAATCGCATCACAACCATCGTCCATTATCTCGTACCATTTATTATTCAAATAGTTTCCATTACTTTTCTTATCATTGCCATTACTCGAAGTCGAATATCACTTTCCTGCAAATGTTAAACAAACAATTTAAAACTCATAAAGAATTGTATTTTACTCCGATTATAATCGTGCTAAGGTTTCTACCACAAGCTGTTTTTGCCTTTAGTTTCGCATGCAGTGAATTGAATACTAATGTTCAACGTTACATACTTTTGTTCGGTTATTTCTTGTTTTATTTACAGCAGATGCTCGGTTTCGTACTCTACGTATTGCCATCAAGCAATTACATCAAAGAATTTCTAAACACACGCCTAGGCAAAACAAGATTTATGACGGAACTATCTAAATTGGCTCAGTCGCATCTCAAATAATTATTGATCTGAGAAACGGTTCTCGTTTGTGGGTGTGGATGGGTGTGAGTGTGGGTGCGCTAATGGGAAAAAGAATAGTACCCACACTCATTCATCACAACATCCACACCCTTCTTTTAATAAAAAACGATTTTCATTGCGTAAGGTTCGTGTAAAATGCTTATTTTATATGATGAGTTCAAATTATTTATAGATACTATTCGCACAGACAACTTGTTAAGAAAGAACGTAATGTGTAAGGGCGGTTAAGATGTCAAGCGCTGCTTATTTCATCTAAAATTTAACACATTAAACACGATGAGACCCATCGGTGGGTATAGGTGTGGGTGTGTTACATAAATAATAAACCCACCCACATCCCCACACCGTAATGACTTGCCGCAACATGAAAGAAAAAATATGTTTCAGTACTCCAGTGTGTTCAAAAACGTGCAGAAAAGATTTGTCAAATGGATTTTCGTTTCTAAGAACCCAAAACCAAGTGAGGATCCCGTTTCAAGAAACACAGGAACCCATACTTACTTGTCTCAAAACAAAAGAACCAATCTATCTAAACATCGAAACATATTCGAAAACACGAAGAAATGTGTTGTCAGGTCGGATTCCGTCCCCAAGGAACGGAATCCTAAGGCACGAGAAACCCTGACATCCCTAATCAATGATGATCTGTGTGTGATTTCGACTCGAAAGATGATTCTATACGAACTTTCCGTACCTAAAATGAATGGTAAGAGAAATAAAAACTTGTTTGCAAGCGCATCCCTCATTTGACTAATAAGACAAGCATATATTTGTTCTAAGGAAGTCTCCTCTCTTTTGTGAAAGATTTCTCTATCAGATCAGATGAGAAACACTTGTTTATGTATTTATTTTGATTGTTATGTATTCAATAATTGTTGAATTTTCGAATGAAGTTTATCATCCCAAATTTGATAACCATAAAGATTGAGATGAACATTGTCAGCTAAATGATCTTGTTGTATTTCTTCAGGTGGCTCCATCCAATGAACGCGATAGTTCTCTTCTGTTTGTCTGTTCGTTTCTTGTGTGTTAATTGTGTTAACAATTTGTTTTATATCCATATTTGATTGTAAAACACATTGTTCATCGACGTCTTTTCGTTTAAAAAGGCCTGTAACAAGTATTTGTGTTTGAGCAGGTAAAAATCTAAGAGAAGCTTGCAATAGAAGACGATAGTTATCTAAATCTAGACCATGTAATGATCGTTTAGGTTGAAGATTATTAGTGCCTATCTGTATCACAACGAGTTTGGGATTTTTAGCTTTCAACATGCTGAGTAATCCCAATCTAATACGATAGAGTACGTTTTCAATCTTATCTCCGCCCACCCCAGCATTGAAGACTCGTGGATACTGCAGTTGACCGATTTGAGTATCCTTTCCAGTGGTTTTGAATCGTTCCAACATAGAATCGCCTAGAAGAACGACATCGATTTGTGGTGGAAATTCACGTGCGATTGTTGTTAGGGAAGAATTGATCGAAGAAGAACTTTCTAATTGTGGCTGATGAGTCTGAGTATGTGTATCATGAGATCGTTGTTTAAAACGAGCTCGTTCGTTGATCAGACCTTCAAGTTGAGTATCAGAAAGAGACTGACGTTGGAACGATGTTGACGACATTTTTTCAATTATTTATGTTAACCTTCTTTCGATTGTGCACTTTCTTCGAGTGAAAACAGAAAAGAAATAAAAATGACAATTATGCAATTACATTCATATATACATTTATCAAGGACGTTATAGAAAAACAAGAGAAATGAAAAAGAAAAATAAATCTGATGTTATTTCACAAACAAGGCTAAGAACAAATATTTCTACACCTCCACACATTGCATCATCTCTTTCTGTTCTCTCAAGTCATTTCTTTTTTGTTGTGTAACATTAGATTTTTCTGTTCTGTTCTTGTGTCATATAACTCATTGTCATAACGCACTAATGCAAAAACATCAATTTCACTTTGCTATTCAGTTAACCAGCTGAGTTGTTCACAAAGAGTACATGTTAACAAGTTGAAAAATTATTTTTAACGAACTTGGATTGTTTATGTATCACAATAGCTTAGATCGCGGAAGAAAATTAAGTTAGGAGAGGCTTGAAAATCACTAGTAGAAGGGTGTGGGTGTGGATAGGTGTGGGTGTTGGTGGGTTAAGAGAAGAATTACACCCACACCCTCATCCACCCACACCCACCCTTCCTTCTGTTTTCTAATATCGTTTCTTTTTTTTCATTCTTCCGTATCTTTCTTGTGTGTCGTTTCTTTTTCATAATTATTCAATTGAAGGACATAATTATTTTTTTATTGACATTACCTAACATTCATTCACTTCTATTAATTTGTCATTAAGAAGTTTTTTTCTCAACACCTGAAAACAAAATTAAAAAGAAAAGATTTCATACAAAATCGATCGGTTTCAATGAAATGATGTTTGATGATAAATGTCTTGATTTTTCTCTTCGTTTTCTTCAAAGAAAACCATTAACTGTTGCAACATTTAATCTTTGTCCTTGATCTTCAATATCTTTTCCTAAAGGAATATTTTCATTAATTTGATTAACAAGATAATAAACAACTAGCATAGGTCCAGCACAAATTTATGTTTCATCTTCATCATGAAATTAATTAATTTTTCACGTTTTGAAACGTATTTTTTTTAATTTTTATGAATAAATTAATATTCCTTCATGAGATAAAACTTGAGGAACATGATAATCAGCAATCATTGTTAAACCATCCTAAAAAGGATTTCTTTTACTTTTAAAAAATTAATGAAAAATTAAAAAAATGAACCATGGCAGCAAAATGTCCTAAACCATGTCCATTAAAACATCTCCAAATATCAGATACTAAGGTTTCTGCTCGTTTATAAAAATGAACTATAATGAAGACAAAGAAAAGAAAAACTTTGGTTTATTTTTGAAAAGAGATGAGAACTTTTTTGTCCTTAATAAATAGTTTGATCATGATATGATGTAAATTTATGAACAATTAATGGAAGAAGATAAATACTACTTGAGAGTGCGGATGTAGGTGCAAGTGTTAGTGGATGTTTCAGATGTGGATGTTCAGTATTCCTCAACTCACATCCACGCTCACATCGTTAAATGTACAGCGCTCTTGCATCTAATTATCGTTGTATATTTCCTCCTCGTAATATCATAAAATGCAGAGAAAGGCAATAAAGAGAGAATAATATTACAAGAAAGAAAGAATGCGCAATGATGAGTGTATCCTTGTAAAACAAATTAATGACCTGATAACAATTTCATGGTCAATTGATTCACGTAAACATGAGTAAGTGGTAGGAAGATTGATTAATTTCGTCCATTATAAATATAAAGCAAAATCGATTACAAACATCCAAAACAAAATTCGTCCACTCCAATATCATTTAGCAAGTATGTATATATGATTTCCAGCATTACTAGATTAGCGATAGAATTAAACTTAAAAATCGAGATTAATTACAAAGAATAAAACATGAGGAGACATGAAAATAAGGCATATTAATTAACAGAAAATAATTATCAGAGAAGTTCTGATTGACAACCCATAGGGTATGGAATCGATGCCCTTGGTCGAAGCAGCTCTTAGATGTAAAATAGTGTTACTGTAAACTATGTTAAACAGAATGACCTTTACAATGTTTTGATTTTATCGAACATTGCAGTAATTGATGATACAAATTTTACTTTTAAGAAGTCAATAAAGCCATGAAGTTAAGAATTTCTTGTAGAATTTCTTTAATGATGTCGCAGCACTGCAAAATCTATTTGAACATCGACAAAGTATGCAAAAACCTAGGATCTGAACATCAAAGCAAAGGATCTTCATTCACAGAACTAGAGAATCTCACAATTTCTCAAATGCACTTCATAGCAGAACTTTTTCGCAAAAAAACTGATTTCATACATTGAAAATGATTGTCAATTAAAATCATGAAAGCAATTTGAAGAAAACATTCATTTTACTCCATGACATTGAAATACATCACAATTGATGTTTGGTTTATTTGAGTGCGTTTTTTTATGTTTTTAATGTAAAATTCATGAAAATCAAGATATTTTGTTGATTTTTTGAGTTCCTGGATATCACAGTAAAGCAAAAAAGGCAACACATTCAAACGATCCTCATATTGATTTTGATATTTCTCTGAGCAGCTTACAAAATTGAGATGCGCTCAGGTTTTAGAGTATACGTATTTTAGTTTTCTTGGTAAATTTTTTTTTCTAAAGTGAAAAAAGTTCAGCACATTTTTCGTTAACCAATTATAACTGAAACCAGTTTTATACACCGCTCAGTATAGAACTTTATGGGCTACATTTTGGTATAAAGTATTCATCATGATGGTAAAATATTAATCAATTGCTATATAACTATTAGTTAATTATTATGTTGTAATAATTAATAGCTAGTTAGTAAAACTTCGTTTTGTTTGCAATTTTCAGTTATTCCATGAGAAAGCGTAATAAAAACTGAGTAAAATTATCTAATCATTATTTCAAAACAGACAATCTTGATTAGATTCTCAGTTTTTTTAGCTTCAACTAGTCATAGTGCTTATTACTTTGACGAATTTTAAATTTGAGAAAAAAGTTTAAATCTGAAAAGAAACCAATAAGCTTTGAAAAGCACAACTTTCTCTTTCAGAAGACAGGTTTCGGCCCTCAGAACATTTTTCTTTTCAAATGTTACAACGGTCTCAAATTATGAACTGCAAACTGACAGAAAAATAGCTGGAAATCATGATCTATACTACTTCTTAAACCATAAAGCTACAAAATTTGACCAAAATATCGCTCAGAAAGTGTCGACGTGTTATTTGAAGGAAGTCTTACTTTTGAAGGTACAAGAATTTCTTCAGATTAAAAATCTTTTTCTAGTTAACTTTTTCAAAAGTACTTAGCACTAAGACTAGTTAAAACTGCTAAAACTGAAACCTAATTAAAATGGTCTGTTTTGAAATATTTATAAGCTCCATTTTAGTTTTGAACAGGTGTGATTCCAAAGAAACACGAACTGATTCCATGTCTGTGATAGACCGAAAAATAAGGTTAGAAAGAGAATTTTTCATGTTTGGGAAGACTCATCAATAAAGCAATTGGAGAAGATGATTTTAATTTTATTTTGCAGAGATTTTTTAGTTGTATTTAAAATAAAAATTTGGTAGTTATTCATCGAATGATATATAACATATAGACCTTGATATCATGCCAGGATCGATATTTGTTGAAACTAGTCTTTTTTTCCTGCAGCATTGATTTTTTTTGTTAAGACTAGAATATTCATGGTCTAGTTTTTGATCTTATATCATCAAATCAGTCACAATAAAAAAAAATTATTCAAAGAAAAAACTTGCGCAGGAGGTATCGGCGTTAGTTTCTTTCTATGTCACAAATTAGGATTCATCGCTACTTTGCGTTCAACAAGTCAATCTTGCTATACGAAAAATTTTTTTATACAAGTTCTGTAGTTCTCAGACACACTAGATGAAGGTATCTTGTATCATCAATATTCTCTATTTCTCTTCTCGTTCTCTTTAAGAAAATATGGGATCAGTATTCTCGACTCTATCAAGTTCTACTTTGCTACAAGATCGAACTTTGCTCGTCTTTTCATTATTTATCGGCGGTACTGTTGCCAGTTCTATTATCCTCCTAGCTTCTTCTTCATTGTATTTCCAATCTACCATCAAGAGATTTATTCGAATCCAAATGCAAAAACGATTGTTTGCTTCAAGGATTCAAGCATCAGAGACAGGTGCATTCGTACCATATTATCGAAATTTCCTTTGTCATCTGCAAAAAACAAATAATGAGTTATTAGCAAAGATCCTCCAGAACAATTGCTCATCTGCCTTTTTCCGGGATCGATCAATTTCATTCCTATCATCTCATCGTCCTTCATCTTATCGTTCTAAACAAGAAGGATATGCCACAATCGATGAGTTTCGAGAGAAAGTACCATTGACTACATATGAAGACTATCGCGACTATATCGATCGAATGGTTTTTAATGGAGAACCAAACCTTCTCTCTTCTCAAAAAATCAACTACTTTGCGACAAGCTCGGGAACAACGGGAAAGGCGAAGCTTCTTCCTACGACTACAACCATGATAAAAAATATGTTGACGCTGGGATGCATCGGACTCAGTGTGATTTGGAGATCTCTTCCTTTGTTATTTCCCTCTTCTGAACGACGAGCATTCCAACTGAACAGTGGAAAAAAAGCCGAAAAGTATCCTCGATCGAAAGATGGCATACCAATAGGTCCGATTTCTCAATGTTTTTCAATAGTTCCGCTTAATCTTGCACTGAGAACAATCTGGGCTAGCCACAGTATTCTTGCCCCTTATTTGATGGAAGAAATCTCTGACTTTGAGACAAATACATTCGTTCAGCTCACTTTTGCATTAGCACGTCATGATTTATATTCCTATACGGTTATGTTTGCTCCATGCTTCATTCATACCATAAAAATTATTGGAAAATACTTTGAAGAAATGAGTCTTTGCATCGCTTCTACTAATTTCGACCATAGTTCTCTTGTTCGAGACAATATTCGAGATTCAAAATTTCGAGCGAAGCTCAATCGAGCGTTGAGTGAGGTAACTATCGAGTACGGAGGATTGAAATACCAATTGGAACGAGCTGAACATATTCGAAAAGAAGGTCAAAAAAAAGATGTTCCCGGTATTCTTCATCGTCTTTGGCCAATTCTGGTTTATGCAATGACGACGACAGGAAGTTCGTTTGCCATATACAAAGATGAGATCCGATTTTATTGTGGAGATAAACTACCTCTTATCAACTACGTGTTTTACTCCACTAGTGAAGGACTCCTTGGATCTCTCGCTAGTATTCATACCGACGAGTATTTTCTGTCACCAACATGTGCCTTCTTCGAATTTATCAAAGAAGAAGACGTGCACCAGGTATGTTATTTTCCAAGATAAATCATCATCTTTGATTTCATGATAAATATGTTCTATACGTAAGCATTTTCGTCTTGCTTAGGCTCAACCAAAGACCCTGCTCATCTCGGAGATCGAACCAGGAAATCGATATGAGTTGGTTTGCACAACCGAAACAGGATTAGTTCGATACAGACTTGGTGATGTCATCAATTGCACACGATTTGTTTCCCGGGCTGATGATTTGGTTCCATTACCATTCGAACCAGTAGATATTCCTCGAATTCCTCTCATTTCGATTGCATATCGTGTTGGAAGTCTTTTGGATATATTTGGAGAAAAGACAAGTGAACAACATGTAATGAATGCTCTCAAACAAACAATAGGTGAATGGAAAGAACAAAGAATATCTGTTGACATGTGTGATTTCACAACATATCCAAAATTAGACATGTTTCCACCTCAATACGTCATCTTTTTGGAGTTGATTGACGAACAAGGATGCAAAATTGATGATCAACAACTACGAGTTCTTCAAAAGATGGCAGACTATGAAGTCGAACGACAACTTTGCAAAGCAAATGAAAGATATGATTATAATCGTAATGTAAAAAAACTTAGTCCTCTTACATGTATTCTTGTTCGCAGTGGAACGTTCTCCACATTTTTACAGAAAGAATTATTGACTGGTCGTGTGAATTTAATACAAATCAAACCTTATCGATTATTGAAGAACGAGCATCATGTTCAATTCTTTTATGATAATAAAATTGACACTTCATCGTGTTAAACATTACTTCTGATTTTGAAAGGACATGGACGATTTTTAATATTAATAATTTATTGTGCCATGTTGAGGTTCAGAAGAAAATAAGATAAAAGAAAGAAAAATGACTTCAAATAAATAAGAAAGAAGTTAACAAACAATAATGTGAATCATACCTCCAAATACATATAATAGACGTCGGCAGATAAGTATAAACAAACGAAATCGTAGACATTGAACAGCAAGAGCCATGAATAAAGATGATGTAGGTGTGGGTGTAGATCTTCTCCTCAGCAACATCCACATCCACACCCACTCCGTATTTCTCCGTAAACGATCGTATCCCATCGTATACGGTCACGACAATATACGATAGTATATACTGAGCCATGTATTATGATAAAATACGACCGTAAATGATCATATCGAGGTCGTATACAGTCGTTTACAGTTGTACACGAAGTTCGTAATCGTCGACCTGGACATATACTGCAGAACTTCGATAGTTTGTATGGAGACACAAATTATGACTTTACTCCTAGTTAATATAGATTTCACAGTGAAGACTTTCTAGATAAATGCTGAAGGAGGTAATCCAAAAAGGTGGATACCTCGTAGGAATAATGTTATTAGAAAGTAGAAGTTAAAAAATGTGGATAAAGGGTGTGGGTGGATGTGGGTGTGGGGTGTGGGTGTGTGTGAGTGTGTGTGGATGTGGATGTGGGTGAAGGAAAGACTCACCGTCACACCCACACCCACACCCACACCCACACCCACACTCGCACCGACACCCACACACCCATATCCACACCCACACCCACACGCACACCCACATCCACACCCACACCCACACCCCACCCACACCCACCCACACCATCACCCTCAAGACGGCTTTCGATGGATATAATTGTCCGTCATATGAAGATAGTTGAAAGGTTTTTGACTTTTATAAACTTCTGTTGATAGATATTAGATCATATCTACGTAGAATTTCAAATTTACTTGATGATAAACCCTTAATCAAGGTTCGAGACAATTGTCTTAACTAGCTTGGAATTCATGTTCTCCCATCTTATACTCACGCTTACCCTCAAGTTGATTTCAAACAAAGCTAAGTTCATGTATTTTTTTCTCATCTCTTTCAGTTTTACAAAAAACAGTTTTAGGGTACATATATTAGAAAATTGTTGTCTGAAAAACAGTTATTATTGCTTCATCAGTATTCCTTGGTATACTTGAAATCATGAATAATAACTTCCACCTCTTTACCATTCATTGGTGGTCTACCTAGCATTAACCATAAGTTCATACACAGAGGTGCACTAGTATATGGCACTGCTGATGCGAATGTAGCTGGCGTTTCATATAAATAAGTAATATTTTCTGTTGATGAATTTATAAAACCATATTGGCTTTGTAAAGCAACATAGGAAGAAGTCCAAGTGAACTGATGGGTAGTGTATGGTCCTTGAATAGGCGTACCTTTGTTAGATCTTTCCGGATCAATACCCAATGTTGATGGATAGACTGTATACCAGAGATTAGGGGCCTTCGATGATGGTGCACCCCATTTAGTTAGTTCAATATCAATTTCATTAATATAATCGACACCTCCATAAGTAAATAGGCCTAATACTACATTTGGATCAAATTTATCAATTGCTCCTTCTAAATACCATCGAAAAGTTCCAAAACCAAATTTGACTTTGGTACCAAGTTCAGCACACGTCCATCTACCTGTTATATTTGAGTAACGAATTATCAAATGTAGTTTGTTATCTGCATCGACCCATACATTATTCGAATCATAGTTGTTTGGTCCTTTGATGAAAAATAAAACAGAATGATATGTATTGTGTTATTTTGATCAATTCAACGCGTACCAGGTGCACTATTTTGTAGGGTACTCGAAATCCATTCATATCCTGCCCAATGAAACGTATTATGAGCACTGCTCAGAGATACTACAAAACAAAAGAGGATAGTTCAATTGTAAGTTAAAGATAATAATTTCAGAAACATCAAATGCATACTCATAATTATAAGAAGAAATGCAACAATCAATATAGCCCGCATACTGAAGTGAGTGTTTTACACTTTGATGACGTTCCTAAAAATATTTCTATCATAATGTACCAAATGAGAATTAACGTATTTATCATATATGTTTGTGTGACTATGAAAACATTTACACAAAACTTGTAATTTGAATAAAAGATAACTTTTTGCTTCTATTTATACCACAAAAATGCGATCAATCCAAAGGGAAAACAGTTGATTCCAAGATTCCGAGATTCTACGGATTCTATTTGAAGCTATCATTCATAGGTTCTTAGAGGCTATTTGTAGGTACTTTATAGCTTCATATGGCTTATTTAGGGGAACCCTTCTATAAGTTGTTATAGGGTATTTGGGGGCATCCTCTACAGGTTCTTATGGGCTATTTAGCTGTAGAATTGAATTTTTCTCTGCAAAGTTTATTTTAACAATATTTATTTGTTTTACCCAAAAAGTCCATTTTTATCAAAGACAGTGAGACTCAGTATTTTTAATTTTTCATTACTATAAATTAGCAGTTTGGGGAAAATAATGATATATTCTGATAGGCCGTATGGTTCTCTACAACCCTATACCTAATCATATTGAATTAACTTTATTCGCTGAAAAACTTTCAAGCATACTAACGATAGTTTTATCCTTAGATTTCTTCAATTGCATATTTTGTTGTCTTTCTATGTGTGTTTTAGAATTATTTTTACCATAGACATCAGTTAATAGGAAGTGTGTAATATGTTCTAATAGTAGGTGAAAGTTTGCATCTTTCTATACATTTTACAAAACGCAACAATCCCGTGCCCTAGTACCGACAAGGGTTCACATTGGTGCACGATATAATAAAAAATCAAAACTCTGTTCATAATTAACAATTTTCATTGTTACAAGCTACTTTCACAGTAAAATAAATAGCATATTCGGAATCAGTGCAAAAAGTTACCTTAGATCAGATAGTTTTGAACGAAAATTGTTTTACAAAACACCGACCTGGAGAGAACCTCAGCAAAATTTTTGGGAACAAAAATCTTGAGGAGACCACAGATCGATTTTTCATAAAAGATTTTTTTTTCAAAAAATATCAGACCTAAAGTAATTTTTTGCGCTGATTCTGAATATGCTATTTATTTTGCTCTCAATGTGACTTACAACAATGAAAATTAACAACTGATGAGAAAAAAGCTAATAAGAAAGAGTAGTGAATAAAAAAAAAATGTTTTTTTACATTAAAAAACGTGTTTTGAGATCACTTTAATACTTCATTACAGCAAGCTGAAAAGAAACTTATTAGATTTTCTTCGGGAAAATATTCGTTCCAACGATCATCGGACCTAATTAATGAGATGGACATTCAAGCGTGTCACAAATGAAGAAATCTTTCTAAAATAAGAACATCTTTGTTAAAAACCTGCTGTCCATTACTTAATACTTCATTTCGTTTGTGCACTTTCTTCTAGAAAGTCTGACATGTTCTCATCATAGATGATCTCATTCATAATTGGAAAGATGTCTCTGAGGACCTGCAATGAGACATGCTTTATGAAATATTCTCCTGTGTCTCAGTATATATGTCTTCTTTCATGAGGATGTCAACGTGCCTTTCGGAATCGACACAAAAGATCCTAAAAACACTCAAAGTGTGCTCAATCACTCTTTTTCTGTAAATTGTTTCTTCGTAGACAACCGTATTCATTCAAGTTAACTAGAAACTAATAACTAACCTACTCATACCTTTTATTTTGGACCAATTCTATTTATACGAGCCAGTCCTCAACACAAGCAACTAATTTAAATAACTTTGGCAAACAAAAATTTAACTTTCTTTCTTTAAGTTACTTATACCATCGGATAAAACTCTTTCCTCCTCTTTGCTTCTATGATATTACATTTTGCATCGAATTTATGACCAAATAAAGATATCACATAAGAGTTTTATTTCACTGTGATCAGTATCATATTGAAATAAAACTCTTATGTCATATCTTTACTTTGCAATAAATTTGATACAATGTATGACAATATAAAACAAAACAGGAAAAAAACATTTTCTGCAGGTGTAACTATACAGAACGTAAATACCACTAGTGATAGTTCGTATTCTATACAAAAAATAATGTAATAATAAATCGCACGAAAATTTTAGGATATACTGTCTATATTCCTTGAAGAGTACTCTTTTAACCAACAATTCCTTCTTTTTGCATTAAAACATCATCCGTTTCTTGAGGGTGTCTGGGTGGGTGTGGGTGTGGGTGTGGATCTTCTATCATATCCACACCCACACTCACACCACACCCACACCCACACCCACAATATTCGACGTGTTTTGTGAATTATTAAATTTTGTTTTATTACCTTGCGGTTCTGATGGTGTTTCAATTGTCGATTCATTTTTTTGCCAATCGAATGAATGGTCTTTACGGAGGCCAGTTGGATTTTGTTGATCCACCGATATTTTGCTCTGTAAATGCTCGATGTTTTTATATGGTGCTTCTGTAAGTAGAGATTCTTCGACACTTTTCATTAAATTTTGAATGGTCAATTGTGCACTTTGTTTAGGATCTGCGTGTTTTTGTAAACTTTTCGAAATTAAAACAACGCCAGGATAACATTTCGGAAACTGTTTTTGTATTTTGTCACGAACAAATTTAGAATCTGTTACTGGATCATTAAATTCGGCTCGTTGAATCTGCTGATTTTTATTAAATTCTATTAATATTCCAAGCCACTGAAAATTTCCCAAATAATAAGGAACGAGTAGAATGCATTCTTTTTTGTGATCTCGAGCTGCCTGTTGCAATCGTTGTTCCAATTTACCGTCTATCTCATCATCAACGGCTTCTAATACATGAATTGGTTTTGGAAAACCTTGAGGAAATTTCTGATGGCGTAATTTTTCTAATTCCGTCGTCAAACGAATCTGAATATTTGTACATTGGAAAGCTGAGTTAGCAAGCTCGACATCAATATTCATTCTTTTTTAATACTCCTTGCTTCCAATTGAGCAATTAAATATCACGAGTCGTTAATACTATGAAGCTTTGTAGAAGACTTTCTAAAACAGAATATTTCTATTATTCTTTCAAGTTAGCGAGTTCTTCCCATTTTCAAAAGGTATGCATAGATGCAGAAATATAATCCACTAAAGAAATGATAAAAGTTTCTGTATGTTTGTCTATAAATAGTTTTCTAAAAAGTGATTTGGATAGGTTCTAGAAGGATTATATGTGTATGACGTATCATCAGATGTCGAAAAGAGGAATATAGAAATTCTCGTTAGGCATTCACAGTTAATTGCAAAGATAATAGTAGAACGATAGAGCCGTTTCATCAATGCTTTCATAAAACTCCAAAGAATCTTTGGATCTTACAGATTTGCTTTGAAAAATTTGGAACAAATTTCGTGGATTACTGACCAGCAAAGACTCACAACTCGTCGAATGATATACAATCCATTCCACTGTGGGATGAATCAAGACAAAATATTCATCGGTAAGGTGACAAGGAATCAGTGTGCGATTGATGATTCGCCTAATTTCTTTAAGATAGAATCCTCTTTACAACACAAACAAATGTCCAGTTAAGAGTACATGCGAGTGTAAAAATGTCGACGGTGATAGTGAACGACTTTACTTACTTGTTATGCTCACTTCCATCATCATCTTCATCTAATCTTATCCGGATTCTACCACTTGCCGTCAACAGTCCATGCTCGCACTTGCCGCCTTTATCTATCTCTCTCGCCCTATTCTCATTATGAAGATAGCGTTTCCGACTAATCTATATGTACACAACTGACATTACTTGAGTGTGTGATATAAAATAAAATGATAATTCTCATGGATGATTCCGAAAACATAAAAAGGATGGACTTTTGAATCACACTTTTTATGAGGGTAGTGCGATATTCTATTCGAATGATAAAGTAAAGAACTCCGCCGGATACGGTGATCCCGCTTGGACCAAAATGTTACATATACCATTTTGTAATGCAACTGGTAATGTATCGAATAGTATATAGGAAAGTCTGCTTTCATCAAGGCATGACGGTTTTAGTGTGCATATACTGTTTGATGGCCAGTATAGTACCGGTGAATGTTATGACTTCTGTAGGTCCGCAAATCAACTCAGAGAAAGTTCTTTTTAAAAGTAGTTTCAATAGAACTGAGGTTTCTCTTGAATATTATATATTTGATAGTTCTCATCCGTGCTTTTATCTGAGAGGAAAGAGTGGAGCCTAGGATTCATGAGGATTCATTCTATACTCTAAAAACAAAACGTTTTCTCAGAAACCGAAAGCCTTCGGAAACCCTTTCCGAAACCCATGAACGTATCCGGGAAGGTTTCCAGACTCATGCTAAGTTTCTGAAAATACCTTCAGAGTTTCCGAGTATTCGGAAACCTATGAGTTTTCGAAATATAGGTCCGGAAA